TTTCATATGTATATAGTGAATTATTATTTAACCTGTAACCAGGTTGTAACCTAACCTGAGAGTATTCTTTTAAACAGCAGACAAGTCTCAGCTAATCATAGCTGTTAAACCTCAAGCCAATCAAAGGCTGAAAGCTGCCAAAAACTGTGACCATATAAAGCAAATACCAACTACAACCAATCAGGCTGCTTTTTCTCTAGCTATAAATATAGTCTTTATATGTGGTGGGGTGGAGCATTGTGAACCATTTTTGATCCAGACTGCTGCCCAATTCATGAAGTCTTTGCTTAAATTCTGCTAAATTTAAATTTTTCCTTCAAATATGTAAAAGCAGGTTAAAAAATAATCATATGTTACTTGATAACAAGATTTTTTTGGTGGAAGTTTGTTTTATTGAGATGTTAATTCTGTTTATCCTAGCCTGTAGCCACTTTGCCCCATTCAAACAAGTATCCAGGCTTCAGATTTTTGTAAGACAAAAAGCAAAATCTGCTTATAGATAATAAGGTCTCCTCATTTTTTGAAATGAAAAGGGTGAAGTGGGAGAAAGATTTCTCAAAGTTTAGAAGTCTGAAGCCTATAGGTTGAGCAAACAGCTAAAATTCCCATCTTGCTCTGTGACAGAGCCCACAATGACAGCAAAATTCTTGGGAAGCTATATCTATGTGCAGGGGCTGCCAGATTCACTCATTTGATTCCTGATTTTTCCCCGTTTTGTAATTCCTGATTCTTGAGTGCCAAGGGTTGCTCTGTGACAGAGCCCACAATGACAGCAAAATTCTTGGGAAGCTATATCTATGTGCAGGGGCTGCCAGATTCACTCATTTGATTCCTGATTTTTCCCCGTTTTGTAATTCCTGATTCTTGAGTGCCAAGGGTAGTAAAGAAATAACAGTCACAAGATCATATAGGAAGATGGCACAGAAAGATAATCAAATAATTTGAGGTAGTTACTGGTATTTCCACAACAACTAAAACCTTAGAAATTTTGTACAACCCTGAATGGAAAGGAAACGCTCAATGATAATTGAGATTGAATTCCCTACCTGCATAGCAAAATGGGAAGTTACCATTAGATTCAAGTTAATCTAAAGAAATGAAATATTTCCATGGAATAAGAATCATACCCACAATATGTGCATGAGTATGCACCCAAACATACACACAAACAGAAAATATACTCTGAGGATAATTTTCCTTCCTTCTCTAGATTGATATTGGAAGGGGCAGGAATCATTAATATTTTAACAGTGATTTTTCTCTACCTCATTTTTCTCTACCTCATAGAGATATTTCATACTGTCTTTATTTGCAAAATATATGTATATGTATATATAAAAATAAAAAATATTTTAATCACAAAAAATATAATGCCAACTGTAAGCGAATTTTTTTTCTTCTGAATATTTGAACAGGTAGAAAACATGGAAGGATATATGCCATTAACTTAGGCTCTGTCTTCTAGCTATTTCAAACCTACTCCTATTTTTTCCTAAAAATATAATATAATAAAGATATAATATCAATTCAACTTTAAGATAAAAGAGTATTATATACCTTCTGTATCCTGAGAAAATAAATAAGTGTATTAGTCCTTGTCCAAGAAAGAAATAGTACACTCAAAAAGGGAGCCTGAAGAAAGTATAATAAGAACATGGGCAGGCAAACAAGAAATGGCAATAGCCCTGCCAACCTGTGGCCAACATAGAAGGAGTACGGGTAAATAAATAATACTGATCTCTCTTTCCTATTCTCCGATTTCCTGCTGGTGCCTTCATTTGCTAAGCTTAACTGAAAGCCAGAGTGGAAGAGACTCTGATGATGCAATCCCTAAAGAGTAAAGTAGATCTTCAGGTGCAAGCAGGATTATTGAGTACAACAATAACTTTAAAGTGCAAACAACTCCATAATTTTGCTATAAATATTTCCAAATTTAAAAAAAAATCTGCTAGAAGAGTACTAGAAACAAAGTTTTGCACTTTACTATGTACCAAAACAGTAGTTTTTTAAAAAAATTATTACTACAAACTACTAAAGTACTTCTATCTATCCACTAACTCTTTTAACTAAAATTCATTGAGTACCAAGTTTGACCCATTCAACGTATACACAAAGGGAAATGTAATACAGTTCCTGTCTTCCAGTGCAGATAATATGTATATGTGGAGACATCATGCAAATAAATAAGCACAATTAAGTATTCTATATATGTAGAATAGTAGGATATTAAAATGGGACTCTGTCTCCCTTTTGCCAGCTATTCCCACATTCCACAGTAAAATAGAAAACCAAGGAATAGAAATTGTTAGTAAAGGGGAAAGGGGGCTTCTTTTGCAACTTTAACTGTCCACTTTTAGGTCAGAAAAAAAGTTGGAATTTATAAGATTTTGAGTTTTTAGTGTGCTGAGTGGTCATTGCTTTTGCCAAACCTCATGCTTAGGGAAAGAAGCTTTTTTCACCTCCTGGTGTTGCAGATTGAATCCAGGGCCTTGCACCTGCTATGCAGGTGCTCTACAACTGAGAGCCACTCCAACCCCAGAAAGAAGCTTTCAGGCTTTAATGGAACTTTCATGGTCCCTGGAACTGGGGTTTGAGGGTCACAGTTGGACTCATCTACTAATCTGGCTCAAAACTGAGGAACTCATTCATTTGGTACTTATATAGTGAGGTCCTAGTATATGCCAGGCTTTGTTCCAGATACTAAGAATATTTCAGTAAATTTTTTTAAAGTAAAAAATTCCTATATTTGGATATTTACGTGATTCCCCATTATGTATTTACAGCCACTTCCAGCTTTTACTCCAGCTAGCTTTGCTAGGTGGCTTTTCTTTATATTCAAAGAGTTCCTTTTATGTAACAACAATAAGAGATTACCATCCCTTTTGGCAGGGAACTCTTATAAAATGATAGAATGAGTAAAACAATAAAAAATTAAGAAAAGAAAATGACAATCCACTAAAGTAACAAAAACCCAATAAAAACATGAAAAACTTTTTTTTACTAGTAAACAAAAAATAAAACTAGTGGGCTTTTTCTTTTTCTACCAACTTAACAAAGGTTAAGAAGTACTTAATATTCAATATTGGTGAAGGTATAATGAAAGTGAATTGTCAGGTACAGTTGAATATAAATTGATGTAAAACTTTTTTTGCATCTTAGATATATTTGTCATAATTACAAATATGATCCTTTTGACTCATTGTACTTCTATGAATTCATCAGAAGGTGGTAATCAGGAAAATACATAAAAAGTATATATGTACAAGAATAATCATTACATTTTTTAATAACTTTATTTTGTTTATTTATTTTTTAATATGGTGTTGAGGATCAACCTAGTGCCTCACACGTGCCAGGCAAGCGCTATACCACTAAGCCAGAACCCCAGTCCTACATTATTTTTTTTAACAGCAAAAATTTGGAGATATTTAATTTTTTTATCAATAAGTAAATTGTTGTATTTTCACAGAATTGGCCACTAAGAAAGTATTGAAAATAATATGGATCATTATTTGTAAACATAAGATGGCTATAACTTTTTAAATGTATTAGTTAAGATTGAGTATGTTCTTACTTATAAAAAATTTATTATACATATGTGTGATACACATAACTAAAGAAACATATGGGAAAGGTTTGTGAAGATATTCACATTACATGACAATTTTAAAATAAGCATTCAACCATTCATTCAATAGTCGTTTTCATTCATTCAGCAATATTCATTAAGCACATAATATGTGCTAGATGTGGGACAAACAAAAGAGAAAGTCTGTTTAATCTATTAATTTAATCCACTAAATTATCAGTATTTTTTTTAAGTGGTAATAACCAGTGTTGGTGAATTTAAAGATAAGGGCAGTTTTATATACTATTGAAAGTCTAAACTGGTTAAAAAAAATTTTCTGAAAGGCAATTAAGCACTTTTTATCAAAAGCTTTTGAAATATTCATGTACTTTGACACAACAACTCCATTTTTAGGAATTTATTCTTTAAAAAATGAGTGTGAATTACACAAAAATATAAAGTAGTTCAGAAATGAATTTTGCGGGGGAACCTAATATTAAACAATAGGGATCTGGATAGATGTCATATATTCATACTGCAGACAACTATGGAGTAGTATTTCCCCTGGAAACTGTTTAACACGGAAAAATATGTCCCAAATATAAACATGAAAGTTTTAAAAGATACTAATTTACTGTGGATTTGAGCAAATCACCCAAGTGATCTATTTCACCTACAAAGCTCAGATCCTTAAGAACCCTTACCTTACCTGAGTCTAGGTACTCTTCTTCTTAACAGAAATTTAGCAGTCAGTAGATGTTAGATCAGCAGCTGTTTGCAGAGCTGTCTTAAGGTAGTTCACTTAAGAATTTACCAGATGCTCCCAAAAGAGAAAACAGATAATTCATAAGAAAATGTCAGGTTTTTTTTCTTCAGTGGCCTAACCTACCAGATATAGTGCGTGGTTTTGTGGACAGACTGTGCCCTTGAAGCTTGAACTCTGGCGGAAGAAACTAATAATCAGTGATCAACGCCAACAAAGCCTTGAAAGATCAGATCTCCGGGGAGTATAAAGAGGTGTATTCCAAAGTAAGGGAGGGAAAAAGCATGTACATAAACAAGATACTCGAGGAAAGGTATGGTTGACATACACAAACAGACCATTATTTTGTGGCCTTTCTGAGCCTAGTTCTTTTTCCCAATCTCTGTGAAAAGTGAGATGCTGAGCGGTCCGTTCGTATCACCCAGAATTGCAGCCGTTGTCTGCAGTAATTTCAGGTTCATTCAGCCGGTAGGATAAGAAACTGATGGAATCTACAATAGACAGTGAATGTCGCTGAGGATCCAACAAGGGCGACGCGACAGGGCGAACCAGCAGCGGGAACTCCCAGACTAGGGTTTCCCGCCAATCTCAGTTCCTAGATCTTCAAGGCCCCGCCCACTCCCGCCGAGCGCGCCGGGAATTTTAAGGGCGGGGAAGTGTTGAAAGCCTATCGATATCTCTGCAATAGACTGCCCTACCCTGCGCCGCCGCCGTCAAAACGCCGCAGCCTTTTCTGTCGATCGCCGAGCGGTGATTTCGGCAGCGCTGTTTGATTCGCAAGCTTTGAGGGAGCTCACAAGCGAGGTCCGCGCCGGAACTATGGTGCGTTGAATCTCTAACTTCGGAAGGTTTAGGGCAAAGGTCTGGTGACTCGGGGAAGGGAATCTGCCGCTCTTGGGCAGTCTGAGGCCACGGGACATGGGAGCCTTAACCACGGGGAGGGCTCCGGCCGTGATTCAGCATCTCCGGCCTGTCTGAAGGAGTGGCGGTCGATAGTCCGTGAGGCCTTTTCGCCTAGGCTTGTTTCACTTTCCAGGGAGTCTCTTGCACTTCTTCCTCCATCAGTTAGCCGAGTTCGCCTGAAATTCCTTCAGTAAAATAGATTCCGAGAGGTCGTGAGTGGCCCCTGGTGCTCTGTATGGGAGGAGAAGAGGGACTTCACTTGGAGGCCTCCCAGCACGGACTTGACTCTAGCATTTGTGGTTCTGGACCACGTTCACTTTCCTGGCGTGTCTTGCTTTACCAGTCATCTAGAGCTTGATTAGAAAAGGCCCGTTTCAATCACTTGGTCCAGTCACCTGGTTACAGATGTGGAAAGCTAGGCTGATAGAGAAGTGATGGAATCAGGGTTACAGTACAGGTCTCTGAGCTTCTACTGAATCTGTCGTTCCTGCACTCGACCTTCGTATCCCCACAGTTATTCTCCCAAGTATTGATAGACTTGCTTTTATAATGTCATTATGAGTAGTAATGGTTCTATCACTGTAGCTATTTGTATCCACCGCTAACTTCCTGAGAACATTTTTGTGTTCATTCAATATGAATATTTAGATGTACATAGTGAGATTTCAAAGATAGGTCAGACAAGTGTGTGATCATAACTAGAGGTGTGTAAAGAACTGTGGGACTACGTGTTGGGGGAGTTTGGGGAGAAAACACGGGGAACACTTCAAGAGATAGACATTTGAGCTAATTTAAAGAAAAGAAATTATTTTTGACCATTAGTGCCCTATGTAAGATAACAGCATAAGCAAAGACAGGAGGAAAAATTGATGCATATGAACTTTAGTAATTACCCACCCAGAGGGAATGCTATGGAGAATGGCAGAGTAGGAAATTGGGAAGCTAGGACCTGTCTAACTAATCTGTTCTTCCCTCCCTCACCAATTAAGGGTGAATGTAGTATTGGCTTTAACAGAATAGTAACAAAATTCCAGCCATGTTGTGTTAACAGAATTGTTTTAATGCTGAATGGAAACACAGGCAAGCACATTTCTTACTCTTAATTAAGATTAGGGGTTTATAAAGTTCCTAATAGGTCTTTTTTCTTTTACTTTCAGTTTCGCAACCAGTATGACAATGATGTCACTGTTTGGAGTCCTCAGGTAAAATCATGTTTTATGCCATTTCTATGAAGAGGCTTTTCATGGCTGTAGTAGGTTTAGAAACTTGTAAGATTGTAGACTGAAAAAATGGAATATCATTTTGGACATTCCTAGAACTTGAATTTATAATTAAAATAACTTTCCTGGTTTTCAGAACATCATTGGAGGAGCTAGGGCTGTAGTTCAGTGGCAGAGTACTTGCCTAGCATGTGTGAGGAACTGGGTTCAATCCTTACCACCACATAAAAATAAATAAAGGCATGCTATCCATCTACAACTCCAAAAACAATTTTTTTAATCATTTGAAATGTAACTATACTTGCTTGAGGTTTGAGAACTCTTGATTTTTAATTTGTAAAGGATCTTCTGAGGTGACTCCAAGATATGTTCTTTTTTCCCTTTAGGGGAGGATTCATCAAATTGAGTATGCAATGGAAGCTGTTAAACAGGGTTCAGCCACAGTTGGTCTGAAATCAAAAACCCATGCAGTGTTGGTTGCACTGAAGGTAAGTAAAGCCAGACATGTATCTTCCTCATTTAGAAAACAGAACTACCAAATGTAAATTTCACTGTATAAACAGTAAAGTTGTAAACTTATTTTTACATCTTATAATGTCTCTATTTAGAGGGCACAGTCAGAGCTTGCAGCTCATCAGAAAAAAATTCTTCATGTTGATAACCATATTGGTATCTCAATTGCTGGGCTTACTGCTGATGCTAGACTGTTATGGTAAGTAGAATCATGAAAAACAAAAGTATCTCTTGATCCATAACTTATTACTTTTCCAGAAAAATTCAGGTAAGGTATACTAACACTTGAGAAGCCGCTGAATAATGTGATACTTGTTAACATAATGTATTGTTTGAAGCCATGTATGTCTAAAAAGATCTTGACATTTTTATCTAATTTTTAGAAAGAGATGAACCACCCTTACTTTCTTTAATACTTCAGTATTTATTAGATTTTTTTTTTCAAAGCTCAGTAGTGGATAATATAGGGTATAGAAAGGTGATTCAGACATGGATCATATCTTCAAAGAACTTTAAATTTAGCTAATCTTGGAAGGAAGTAGAGAGTAACAGGTAAATTTCTGTGAGCAATAGGAGGAGATAGAGATTGTGGATGAGAAGCAATGAGTAAATGAAGAAGTGGGGCTTTGAGATCAGACAGATAACAAATTCTTATTTAATTACTAATTTCTGAGATTGGGCTAATTACTTAACACTCAGATTTTTCAGTATTTTTTTTCTCCAAGGGTGTTTTGAAGTAGGCACTTAAAACAGCGCCTTTCAGAAAGCATGTGAGTGTTTATATGTTGAGGGTAGGATGTAGTTAGCCAAAGCTAAACTTTTACTTATTTATATATAAGCTGTAGGTGGATACAGTACCTTTACCAGTGCTTCTCATGCATGCTAGCCAAATGCTCTACCACTGAACCACAGCCCCAGCCCCCAATGCTTAACTTTTAAATTTATGGTTTTATTAGTGAAGAAAGAATATAAATAGTAAAGGTAAATGGTAATGCCTTTTGTTTAAGAGTTTTGAGTTATCCAGCCAGTCCCTTGGTATGTCAACAGTATACTGACAGTAATACGGGTTTCTGTTTGCTCCTAAAAATGTAGAATGTGCAATGTTGTCAAACATTTAACCCATTAATATCTAAAATATTGCTGTGCCAAAATACATTTAATATAAAAACTTTATTAATGAGATATTAAATTTTTGAAATTTTGATGTGCATTGTATATGTACATCTCAATAAAGCTATATGTATATACATCTCAATAAAGTGGCTTAATACCACATATCATTAGTGCCTGCCATATTGGAGAGTATGGTTTTAGACACCTTGAGAAATTTACTTTTAAAAAGTACTAAACAAATGGCTTGGTTCCTCTAATATACATTTGATTATCAGGGACTAATTAAGTAGATCAGTGGTAGTGTACTTGCTCTAACATGCACAAGGCCCTGGGTTTGAGCTTTAGCACTGCGATCGATCGATCAATCAATAAATAAATAAATTTGACCATCAGATATGACAAACACATACTGGACTAAGCAACGTGGAAAGAATGAGCATGTCTATTTCTTTCTATTTAATTCTCTAATAGGCATGAGTTCTTTTTCCCCAATGTTAACCTTGCTCAAATCTTCACAAGTTGAGACTCAGCAGCCTAGTGTCTAATATCTAATGCAGTTTATGATGAGAAGTAGCATTTGCAGAACATGTGAAAACATCCCCTGGATTCTATTTCTTGCCATTGCTCTATTAGGGAGATTTTAATCTGTTTTCAAGGAAAAAACAAAAAAGACTAGGTACTTTTTTTTCTGGATCAAGACTTAGAATTAAAGACAAACGGTTGCTGGCTGGGTACAGTGTTACATGCATGTAATCCCAACTATTCTGGAGGCTGAGGCAGGAGGATTGTGAGTTCAAGACTATCCTGGGCAACATCAAAAGACCCTGTCTCAAAATAAGGACAGACTGTTGCTCATAAGGATAAGAGAAGAGATGGCTATTTTCTCTTCAGTCGGCCTCTGTATTCGGGCTCTCAGACATAAAATTTTCAAGAGCTAAAGAATAGTTAGTTTTGTTTTTTTTTTTCCACTGAAGCAAAAGAAGAAAATTTATTGAAAATCGAGGAAAAATCAAACAGAAAAATAACCTCAAACAAGTAACAAAGCAAAGACAAAAAGGAAATAAGAGGAAAAAAATACCTAAATTAAGACAAAGCTCCAAACTATTTCAAAATGATGAAATTGTATTGGAGATGGAAACTAAAAGATGCAGGTGGGGGATGGGGATCTGATGTGGGTATGGCTGTCAGCAGAGGACTATAGGAAAATCCTTGTGGGAAAGCAGAGGTCCTTCATTCCTGGAGATACAGGCAGCCGCTGCACTGGTCTACAGATGAAGATCCCCATAAATTAGGAAAGATAGTGATAAAATTGTCAAGGGGTGGGGGCAGCATCAAGGGAAGGAAGTGCTCCCAGGAACACCCATTCCACTCCTAGACTAGAAACCCAGACACTCCCAGCTGACTCAAATGACACAACAATTAGATGGAATAGTAGCCAGAGTGAGGACCTATGGGACTTATGGAATGGGGCAGGTGCCAAACCCTCATCCACTTAGAAATCTCCTGGACCTGATTTGTCTGCGTCTTCAAGATCACCTTCTTCAGGCTCTGCAGTGGAGAGTCTCTTCAAGGAGGCTTCTAGTTCCTCATCCTCTCCCCTGAGGGGCCACGTTCCCACAGGTCTAGGCCTGAATAGAGAAGCTTCTGGGTCTTCTTGGGCTGGGGTAGTGGACATTTTGCAGGATGGGTATGTACAACAGAAGCTAGACCAGGATGGGCCCGCCTAAGTTGAGTGTGCCCAGGATGAGCACAAGGGCTGGCCAACGCGTCATGCAAATGGGTGATAGCCTCATCCAGAGTTTGGGTATGTCTTCTGTTGCACAGTAAACCAATTCTGCATCATTTGCTCCTCTAGGCTAAGGCTAGAGGCCAGAGCCACCAGGGTACCATGGGATAGAAAGGGGTCCTTCAGGAAGTGTGCTTCCAGCTCCTGCATCTGCTGCTTTCCAGCATATTTCAAAGGCTTTCAATCTCATTCATGGCAATAGTGCTCAGTTCAAAGGAATGGGTAGTTAGTCAGTTTTAAGACCTCATATGGCCTTACAGTTTAGCACAAAAATGTGTCTTTTACCTTACTGGTTTCCTTATATGTATATGATCCATGAAAATGTTTGGAAGTGAAATGAAACTGCTTTATTTGGATTAGCTCTCTATAATTTGAAATTACTAACTTTTCTTGTTTTTTTTTTTTTTTAGTAATTTTATGCGCCAGGAGTGTCTGGATTCTAGATTTGTATTTGACAGACCACTTCCTGTGTCTCGGCTTGTATCTCTAATTGGAAGCAGTATCCTTTTTATGTTAACATTTATAAATGTGAACTTTAAAGGGCTTGGGTACTTAATCCCTATGGTATTCGGAATATGACTATGAAACATAGGTATGATTATAAAACTTTTAAGGTATTGGGTTGCTCTTTCATTAGCCATTATAAGCAATTTATATTTTTGAGACATACATAAACCCAGCTTTATGAAAACTATCCCAGCATCATTTTTGAGAAATTTAAAGTTTCTTATTAATTCTAGATATCCCCACAAATCCTGCACCCCTTATATCCAAAACAAATGAAATTCTATATGGAAAGAGATTATTTTGCTAGTATGTATTCTTGGGTTTGATGGAAAGTCAAACAGGTAATATTGAGTCAAAGTAGTACTGTTCTGTTTTATGTTCTTCCTACAGATTATGCAGTGATTAAGGAAGAAGTTAGAGGTCTTTGTTAATAATATTTTGTTTGAAAATAAAGATAGTACTTTAAGCCAGGTGCAGTGATGCATTCCTATAATCCTAGCAGCTCAAGAGGCTGAGACAGGAGAATTGCAAGTTCAAAGCCAGCCTTAGCAACTTAGTGAGGCCCTCTAAATAATATATTAAAAGGGACTGGGGATGTGGCTCAGTGGTTAAACGTCCCTGGGTTCAATCCCTGGTACCAAAAATAAAGATAATACTTTATTCCTTGGTAGAATAAGCTCTTTAACTAGTTTAAGAGACCCAGATACCAACACAGCGGTATGGCCGGAGACCCTACGGTGTTGGGTTGCTTATTGCTGGATATGATGTAAGTTGATAGGGTATTGTTATATTTTAATGATTTTTTAAAACTAGAAACTTTTGTAATTTTTAGCTTAATCAAAGTCAATAATTATGGGTTTTGTTTTTGTATTGTAGGATATGGGCCCTCATATTTTCCAGACCTGTCCATCTGCTAATTATTTTGACTGCAGAGCTATGTCCATTGGAGCCCGTTCTCAATCAGCTCGTACTTACTTAGAGAGACATATGTCTGAGTTTATGGAGTGTAAGTGACAGCTTTTTTTAGTTTGGTTTGGTTTTGCCTCCTCCAGTCTTTGTATAGTGAATAAAAGTAGTATCCTAAATAAGGAAAACTATCAGTCTTATAGAAAGAGTTGGTTTTTTTTTTTTTTGAAAAATTAAGCCTATGAAGTATTTATTATTTCTGTATACATCTACATTTTACTCCTGTTTACCACAGTCATTTCAATCACTAGAAAACTCTTTCAGGATATAAATGTGTCCCTACCCTTAAAAATTCTTGATTCACTGGATCTGAAATATGTCCCAGCCAAAGTTGGGAAACCCTGTACAAGTTGCTATTTGTAAGTTCTCTTTTTATAACTTTCAGTTTTCTGTGATTCTGTTCCTGTTTTAAGCCATGTAGACATTTCTGCATTAAGTAGTTCATAAACAAGAAATAAAAGACAGTGTAGCAATGGCAAAGGAAGGTAAAAGATGTAAGATGATAGAGAAGATTTTCAAGTGCTTTTCTTCATATTGGAAGGAGTGTTTGTCAGGGTTTTTAACATTTCTCTTGGTTGTCTTATAAGTTTTCTTGTGGCAGTAGTCTATGAAGGAAATATTTGGGGCTCAGCGAAATATAGAGGAAAATAATTAACACTCTGAAAGCAAGCTATTGTGAGATGATAATAGCTTTAACTTTAGGATACAGGAGTTCTAGGGCCATATAAGCTTGAGAAGCACTGATTAAAGTTTAACATTTCAAAATATGATAATTGAGTTGTGAGTTCCTAAGATAGCCCTTAACATTTGGAGATTTTCTAGGGCTCAAAGGACTTAGTGTGTAGTTGTACTCATAGCTAAGGCTTACAGCAATATAAGGATATACAGCTGAATCATTAAAGAAAGAGTCAAGAGGAATCTGTGAGGAAGTTTCCTTATGTTCTCTCCCTTCTCAGAAGAGTTACAGACCATACTTTAAAGAGCATGTGTGTGATATTTTTGACCAGAGAAGCTCATTAGAAACTTGGGTGTCCAAAGTTTGAGATCTGGTCACATAAACATGCTCAGCATATTCCAATCTGGATAAAAAGTTAATAAGGATTGCATTGAATCTATAGATCATTTGGGGACATACTGCTATTGTTATAATCCAGATGGTCTACCACTTAAATATATTCAGTACAAACTGAACTTTAGATTTTGAATTTTGATCTTTTTCTGGGCTAGCAATGTGCAGTAAGATACTCATGATAAAACATCAGTGAGCCATAGGACTCAGTCAGCCACACAATTCCAAGGGTAAACAACTGATATCTATAGAGTACTATGTTGCTAAGCTATGAAATTTGGTAGGTTAGGTGTATTAAATGGATTTTTTCTTACATTTCAATTTACAATGTGTTTATCAGGTTGTACTTTGATCATAAGTAGCATCTATGCAAATCTGCTGACATCTGAGCATGGGTGTCTTTCCATTTACTTAGGTCTTCTTTAATTTCTATGATGTTTTATAGTTTTAAGTATTCAAGTCTTATATTCTTTTACATTTATTCATAAGTATTTTATTCTTTTTGGTGTTACTATGAACAGAATTTTTAGATTCTTGAGATCCATGTCATGTCACCTGGGATTGGAGAGTTTTACTTTTTCCTTTCCAATATGATTGTTGGTGGACCTTTATTTATTTTTATATGGTGCTGAGAATCAAACCCAGTGCCTCACACATGCTAGGTAAGCCCTCCACCACTGAGCCACAGCCACAGCCACAGCTAATATGGATGCTTTTTATTTCTTTTTATTACCTGGTGTTCTTGCTAGACCCTCCAGTGCAATGATGAATAGACATGGTAAGAGCAGACATCTTTGATTTGTTCCTGATTTTTAAGGGGAAAGATTTATTTATTTATTTTTGGTTCTGGGGATTGAACCCAGGGGTGCTTATCCACTGAGCCACATGCCCAGTCCTTTTCTTTTGTATTTTGAGACAAGGTCCTGCTAAGTTGATGTGGGTCTCACTAAATTGCTGAGTCTGGCTTTGAACTTACAATCTTTCTGCCTCAGCTTCCTCAGCTGCTGGGATTATAGGAGTGCGCCACCACATCTGTCAAGGGAAAATTTTTTTTAAATATACTCAATATATTAGCTATGAGTTTTTGTAAATATTCCCTTCAATTATTATTATTATGCAAGCATTTGGGGTTTCATCATATGCTTTTCATGTATCTGTTGAGATGATCGTGCTGCTTTTTTCTCTTCAGTCTTTGGTGTAGTGTTAAATTAATTGACTTTTCAAATGTTAAACCAACTTTGCATTCTTGAGGGGGAAAAATCCTTTTTTGTCGTGACAAATATTGGGGTAGAGCCCAAACATCCAAGATAACCTTTTGTCTTCTTTAGTCACTTTCTAGGTGTATTAAGAGAAGCTAGAATGCTGGGTCCTCTGCCACAATCTTTTCAATGTTGCTGGATTCCATTGGAATTATTTTGTTAATTTTTGTACCTGTATTCATAAGAAATATTGTTTTGTGGTTTTGTTATCAGAGTAATACTGGCCACATAAAATGAGTTGAATACTACTTTTATATAGAGCAAATGTAGCATCTAACATTCCACAGAATACATTCTACAAAATTGTGAATGACATTTTTCAAATCATAATTTTGATTTAGCTTATCAAAATAACAGGTCATCTCATTAAATAAAATAATAGCGATAGTATTGCTATTCAAAGATTATATGACGAGCATTAGACACTTGGCTGTTATTGTTGTAATAACAATATTGCATAACTAACACCATGATTTCAGACTGTAAGCTTGATAAAAGAAGCCTAGTATGATAATGAAACGAAGAAATAACTATTAATTTATTACATACAGGCAACTTAAATGAACTGGTTAAACATGGTCTTCGTGCCTTAAGAGAGACACTTCCTGCAGAGCAGGACCTAACTACAAAGGTAAATATTATGTTTTCTAATTGTAGATAATAATATTACAGTTTAATATTGTATAAATAGGTAATTAAAGTGTGTATACTTATTTAATTTAGGAGACGGTTGCCTTGGTTCACACTTTCCCTTTAAGCTGTTCAGAAAGTGATCAGATTTTGAAATGCTATTTTTTAATATTTCTTTTTGATATAAAGCAATAAAATCAGGAAGTCCAATGTAGACTGCCCTTTATTTAGTAAATAGTTATATCTTTGTATTATTCATGTAGTTAACAAATTTGTGCACTTACCATATGCAGATACCTTCTAAGCATTTTAAATATAGTAAAGACAACAAATAGCTGGACCTTTATTGAACATTCTAGTGAGGAGATAAATCATATACATACACAAATCATACAGGATATTAAAAGATAATAAATGCTGTAAGTTAAAAAAAATGTTTAAAAAGAGAAAGAATGTCTAACTGGGTGCAGGAAGATAGTGTGGTAGATATAACTTAAAGTAGGGTGATCATCTGGCACACACCTGTAATCCCAGCTACTTGGAGGCTTAGGCAGGAGAATTGTGCATTCCAGGCCAGCCTAGGGAATTCAGCAAAACCCCATCTCAAAAATATAAATAATTATCATTGTATAATTATCATTTAATATCTATGTGAAAACTTTATTGCCTGCATAATCTTTTTAAATCAAGTGTTTCCAGATGATAGACCTTTAAGATTAATCAAATAACAGTGAATATTAAATCTAGCAAGTGCCTACTAGTTTTCTTCACCCTACATATAAGTAGTTTTTAAAGTCTTAAATTCAAGTACTATATTTTTATTCTGATTTTTTTTCACCTAACATTTTATGATAAGAATTTTTCTGGCCTCAATGTACTCTATTACTTATTTTTTTGTTCTCACCCTGCCCACCCTTAGAATGTTTCCATTGGAATTGTTGGTAAAGACTTGGAGTTTACAATCTATGATGACGATGATGTATCTCCATTCCTGGAAGGTCTTGAAGAACGACCTCAGAGGAAGGCACAGGTATCCAATTAGTTGTAACAAAAGAGGCTTTCATTTTGTCCTAAACTGCAGTTCTTATCAACTGTGTAAATCCATCATTTTTCCCTTTAATTATAGAGATAGGCTCCCAATTCATATAGCAACAGAAAAATTAAGAACTAAGGAAAGTAAAATATTCAGGGGGCAGAACTCTCTGTAAACACAAAAAGAGAAAAGATTTAATGATTTAGTTATCTATTGCTATGTAATAAGTTACCACCAAACTTATAAATTTAAAACAGCAAACATTACTTCTCACAATTTGGTTGATTGGGCCTCATCAATGATGGTTCTTTTGCTTGTGTCTCTTGGAATCGCATATGTGCTACAGTCAAATGTTGGGGTGGAGCCCAAACATCCAAGATAACCTTACTTTTGCCTTCTTTAGTCACTTTCTAGGTGTGTTAAAGGAACTAGAATGCTGGGTCCTCTGCCAGAATGACTGCTTCTATCCCTGTAGTCTCAAGGCCTCTCCTTCAGCAGGACCTTTCTAGCAGGGTGGCAACCCAGAGCTTGCTAAAGGTCAAAAAAGTGCAAACTGCCATCATTCTTAATGCTGATACCCAGGACTAGCATGACATCATTTATGCACATTCTGTTGTTTAAAGCAAGTCATGGGGCCAGCCTGGATTCATTGGGAGTAGATACAAGGAGAAGTGTTCATTGGAGACCAGCTTTGAACACTAGTTTGACTTTTCATAAATAGTGACAAAAACCAAATGCAGTGGCACACACCCGTGATCCCAGTGACTTGGGAGGCTGAGGCAAGAGGATTGCAAGTTTGAGGCTAGCGTAGGCAACTTTTGTCTCTTAAACAAACAAAAAAAAGCTACTGGAATGTAGCTCAGTAGTATTGTGCCTCTGGATTCCATCCCCAGTACTGCAAAAAATTAAATATAAATGTAAATAAATAAATAAGTGACAAACACATCAAGAAGTGTTTGTAGGGGGGAAAAACTTTAATATGGATCTTGTTGCTGGATGTTTAGAATACACATTTGCATTAATAGATGCTTATTTAATAACTGTGTACCTGAAGATATAGTGTCTGGTACATAAATTTCTTCAAACTCGAACTGTTGGGAAATTTGGGGGAGCAAGAATTGCATTATGTAAGTTGCAACACTATTAAGAAGAATGCAGTGGAGTGCCATGCAGCTGGTTGGTTTTTATTTTTGCTTTGTTAGTTTAGGGGAAAAGGATCTCAAAAAAGGGCTGATTGTATCTTAAGCTTAATATTAATAATATATGAAAGGCTTTTAACTCTTGAGCAAGACAGTATGATAAAATAGTGGAATTGTTCAATGATTTTTAGGCATTCAGAACTGAAATATATTCTTTAAAAGCTCTTAGAAATTTAGTATTCAAAATATCCCTTAACCCTTTTTTCATTAAGTTTTTATAATGTAACATTTGTAATTAGGAGTACATATTGATCAAATGTTCATTTTTCATCTTCTCTTTTTTTCTTCCCTATTAAGCCTGCACAACCTGCTGATGAACCTGCAGAAAAGGCTGATGAACCAATGGAACATTAAGTGATAAACTTAACTATATGTGTATTATTGAATATTTGAGAATGCAGAAACACATACTGATGACAGTAATCTATACTTTGAACCAAAAGATGCAATGGTGGAATGGTATAAGTCCAAATACTGATTTTAGGAATCAGTCCAAATGTGTTTTTTCCAAATAACTTCCCCGAACCATATAATGGGGTACATTTTTCTTTGAGAGGGTCTATATAATCATTTTCTAGAAAGTATAGGTATACCAGTGTTTTTATATAAAGAAAATAGTGTCTTTGGGGTTTTAAAGACAACTGTGAAATAAAATTGTTTCACCTCCTGGTGTATTGGGTTTTTGTTTTTTAAGTAACTTCAACTATGAATAGTAATTTGGGATTGCAATTACTTATTTGCCACATTTGCAAGATTATATTGCCTTGTTTTTAATGATATATAAAAATGCCTCATCTACCACAGGCTTGTAACAGTTTCTAGTTATGGGCTGGCTTCATGAAAATCCATGGAGATTTGGCTCCAAATGCAAATATCAGGATATAGATTATTCTGATTAAAATCAAAGAAACTGCTGGGTGCAGTTGCACACACCTGTAATCCTAGCTACTCAGAAAGCAGATGCAGGATTGAAAACTCAAGGCCAGGCTCAGCAATTTACTGATAGCCTGTTCTCAAAATAAATAAATAGATAAAAGGGGTTGGTGCTCATTTGTATGAGCACTCCTCGGTTCAATCCCCATTACTGCAAAAAAGAAAAAGCCTACCTAAGAAACACCACTTCCCAACAAAAGTAGTGAGATTGGACTGGGGCTATATAACCCCGTGGTAGAATTCAGGCTTGCCCCACTCTAGGCCCTGGGTTAATCTCTAGCACATTTTACCAAAAAAAGCCAAGATTCTTAATGTCTGAACAGTTTTTCTATCCAATCAGCAGATGGCAATAGAGCTCTGGATTTTCTTGGGAATTTTTGCAAATAATCTCAAACCTCTAATCCTACACAAACCAACTCCAGCATAATTTGTATATTACCTTCTATTCCCTGGGTTATGTACTCAGATGTTGCAGAAATTTTTAGCTTAGATCATACAAAATTAAATTAGGAAATCATTTAAAAAATCCAAAATTTCACTGCTCAAAAGCCTAGGTGTATTTTATTTTCTGAGATAGTACGTATTTTTAGAGAAGTTTTATTTGTGGATACTAACAAAAATTTTTAATCTAATTCTACTAATTAGCTGCTATTGGCTTTGGGCAAGTTACTTAGCCCTATTCTAAGGAAACCCATTGGAGAATTATTTTAAGAATAAATTAGGGCTGGGGCTCAGTGGTAGAGCGCTCGCTTAGCATGCGTGAGGCACTGGGTTCGATCCTCACCACCAAATAAAAATAAAATGAAGATATTGTGTCCACCTAAAACTAAAATAAATATTTTGAAAAAAAGAATAAACGAGAGGGGGCTGGGGATGTGGCTCAAGCGGTAGTGCGCTCGCCTGGCATGCATGTGGCTCGGGTTTGATCCTCAGCACCACATACAAAGATGTGTCCACCGAAAACTAAAAAATAAATATTAAAAAAATTTCTCTCTCTCTCTCTCTCTCTCTTAAAAAAAAAAAGAATAATGAGAGAATTTATAATACCTTCTAAATTGAAAATGTTAGTTTTTTTTTTTTTCTTTTAGGTTTCCCAAAACTTAAAAAGTATCAGTTTAAATCTCTTTGTGACTTCTTTTGGTAAAGTAATGGTAAAAGACTGTTGAAGGAAAGATCTCTAAGCATTGGAACCTGTAAGGAGTGAGGGACTCCTGCTCTGGAAGTAGCCTGAAATTTCTGTCTGCCTTATTTAAGTTTGGTAACAGGCCACACGTACCATGTGGCTATCTGAATCACAATGGAATTGCATCAAGTACCTGTAACTTTATATTGAGTGAACAGAGGGATGCTAACCACCTACCTCCACACTCAATGCATGTATAGTCTGGGGAGGGAACATAAGTGGGCAGTTTGATAAGCTGTTCTTTGCTTAGAAAAGTCTTTCTTCTACCCCCTGTGCCTTTCATTGGGTGAGTTGTCTGCTGAGTGATTCTGTTTAAATATAAAGATACTGCGTATGCTTTTTTTTTTTTTTTTTTGGATCTACCCCTTAAATGCAAACAACTAATAGTTGACTGGAACTCAGCAAAAAAAATAAACAAAAAACAGTGGTCTTTATTTTACTTTGGGAACAATATCAGTTTTTTCAATAAGTGATTTTTTAGTCTAGTACGCTGACTTTAGAACTTAAAATTCTCCATACCCCAATAAAACTTATCCCACTATATTACAAAGTTAATCATTATATCCTTTTGCTTTGTCTGGTCTATTGTACTCAATTATTCCATTTAGTGTGTGTCATATAATGACAAGCCATAAGATTCCTAATGTCTTATAAGTCCTGTCACTTTGATATAAAGATAACAGTTTACCTGGAATTTATTAAGCATCTATATGTATAGCTCTTAAGAACTGGCATGGTTAAAGGCCACAAATCATAGATTACAGGATTCGGGTTCTAATTCTTTTTAGTATTTGACAATTACGTGATTCAGGGCAAATCTCATCATTAGGTCTTTATTTCCTAGACTTTTAAGTATTGGATTCTTAATACATAGCAAAGTCTTCACTCTCAAATTAGTTATAATTTTAAAGCATTCAAAATTATATAATTACATGATACAGTAAAAGATCCAAAGTTGCATTTTATACCAGTAGGGAAGAATTGGTGAGGCCATAAATTGTCTTTACATCTCTTCAGAAGTTCTTCATTTAAAAATACATAACTAGATACTACTAGTGACACTCAGAGGCAAACTAAAATGCCTTCTTTTCATGTTTTAATAGTTTCCTTAACTCAGGGTCATAATAAACCCTGAAGTTTTAACACAACGTCTGGGATAACTCAAGTGGATATAACCATTAGACTTAGGACCATACCATGTGGTCCTAAAGTATAATCTTTATACCTTGTTTGGCCTCATTTCTTGCTAACACATTTCATTTTTTGATAAGGCTTGGAAATAAGATAACTGCATTTGTAAAGATTCCATGAAAAGTATATCCAAAAGAAATAAACTGTTGAAGACATATCTTGGATTGATTTGGGGGAATTATGCTGAGTAAGCCAATCTTGAAAGACTACATTGTTTAATTCCATTTACACAACATCATTGACAATAAAACAAATTAGTGGTTTCCAGGGGCTAATGATGAAGGTGCTATGATTTGAAAAAGATGGCATTAGGGATCCTTGCAATGGAACAATTCTGTATCTTTAAAGATGTAAATGGACACAGTACCTTTATTTTATTTATTCTTATGTGGTGCTGAGAATCAAACCCAGTACCTCACACATGCTAGGCAAGCTCTCTTCCATTGAACTACAACCCTACCCCCAGTTCTGTATCTTGACTGTGCTGTTGATTATACAAATCAGCTGTCTAGAGCTAGACATTGGTGAAATCTTGAGTAAGGATGGGTGAATTGTATTTTAGTTTCATGGATTTTATAGTGTACTATAAATACACAAGTTATTACCATTGGGAGAAACTAGATGAACAGTATATGGGACCTCTATGTTCATGTCACTTCAATTATCGTGATAAAAGCTTTTTAAAAATGAGTGCAGAGGGGGCTGGGGTTATGGCGCAGTGGTAAAGCACTTGCCTAGCACTGGTTTCAATTCTCAGCACCACATAAAAATAAATAAAAACAAAGATTCGTCCACCGCTAAAAAAATTATATACATATATAAATATGTGAATGCACCCGAGGAGGGCCTTCTTCAAGTGTTAAGCATGTGACTTAAAAATAAATTGTGGGAGCTCGAATTTGGTTCGATGGTTTCAAAATAAAACCTCAAAATAGCTGGATTCTATGTAGATGAAGTTCTATTTGTGTTATAGCTCCCTAAGTGAGGTGGCCCTATTAATAGTCACAGATTCTGTCAGATTCTGTCTTTTTGTTTTCCTGGTGGGTTGCAGCAAGTGAGTTCTGGAGAGAGAGAATTTTTTTTTAATATTTATTTTTTAGTTGGCGGACACAACATCTTTGTTGGTATGTGGTGCTGAGGATTGAACCCGGGCCACACGCATGCCAGGCGAGCGCGCTACCGCTTGAGCCACATCCCCATCCCCGCAAGTGAGTTCTGGGACCTCAAATGGGCAAAACCTAAGGTGCTAACTGTAGCTATAAAAAGTTTTCGGAGATAGATAAAATTCTTAAGAGGGACTGTCTCCCTTTATTCATTTTTTAAAAGTTTAATTTACTGGGTACTCATAAAGGATAACAAAGGAAATCATTACTAAATAGCAGAAAGTACACCAATGCAACTTTAGATATTCAAGCAGCTCCAGTTCAATTGCAAAGAGGGAGATTCAGACTACTGGAGATGTTAACAGAAATGGGTCTTGATGTAATCCAGTGGGTTTATTTAAAGAACTGAAATTACTTTCCCAATGGTAAGTAGTTACTTCCTCAATTTATCAGTGGGAAAGCAAAAAAAGGGACTCCAGGTTCCAGTCCTGGGTTCCTCCACCGGATACAACTGGGCAGAATTGTTTGCCTTCTGTTCAAGCCCTTCCTCCCTTTGACGGTTTGCGTCCATGGAAAAAGAATAATTTCCACGTAACCATTAAATGACTACAGAACTTAGGTTAGCGGTTGGCTTACAGGAAAAAAATTTCACAAATACGTATTTCCACTCTTCTTTGCGGCCTATACCAACCAGGGATAGGAGAGAAGGAAAAAACCGGACGTGCCTGCAACGCGCAACGGCAGGACGGAGAAAACATGTCCTCTCTGAGTCGCCGTAGAGCTAGGTGGCTTTGGCTACGGACGTCTCCCCACCCCCTTCCACGTCAGCCAAGGACTCTGGAGCTTTCACGGCTGCCTCTGGTTGGAGCCGGGGTATACGGTCCCGCGGTTCACTCAACCGCCGCCCCTCGGAGCCAGGTAGCGGGCCAAAAGCCCCTAGCCTCGGAGGCGTGATGGGCTGCGCAGAGTCGGAAGAACTGGTTCTCTAGCGGGGAGACGCGGAGCGGGAGCAACTAGGCCGCTGACGTCGGGGCCTGGCAAAGGGGAACGGTGGGGGTGGGTCTGAGAGCTCAGGGCCGGACGCCCCGTCCAGGCCTGCGTGCTGGCCAGGGGTCTTCTCTCTCGCTAGAGCCCCGGCCTCGCGCTGTGAAGTCCGGGCCTGCTTGGCTGGAGGAAGGGAAGGGGCCAGTGGGTGGGGCGAGGTGGGGGTGCGGCGCTGGGTACCGGCTTTGAGGTACCTACTGCCAACCGCGGCCAAGCGC